CACTGCCACTTCAGCTTACTAATCCGTTGGGCTATGTCGGTCACTCTGGTTCTACTGCGGATATCCTCATTCCTAAGTTTATCACGCAGAGAAACTCCGAGCATAGCCCTCTCCATAGCTCGCTGAGCGACCTTGAGCTTCCTCATACGGCCAGCAGTGAAGGACCACGTCTCAGTTCCGTAAGTCATCACTGGCAACACGCACTGGTTGTACAATTTCGTTTTAAGGTTTTGAGGTATGTCTGACGAGAAGATGTGTCGTAGCTTCCCGAACGCTGCCCAGCCGAGTTGAATCCGTCGATTGACCGAATCCGATAGATGGCAGTACAAAATCTAGTATATGCCAAATATAAACTACTCTGATCAGCAACGGAAAGCTGTATCAGGGGTGCGAATTATCGTTACCGTTACAGCCTATCAAAGCCCACTGCTGACCATGACTGCTTCATATAGGGATATTTACCATAGTTGCCACGCTTGGCGAGCGGGTTGGCAACTGTAGTTTATTTTTATTTTAGTCGTTATTAGGACAGAAAGGACAAGAGGAAGAAGCTGCTGCCCATCTCCTGATTTGTTTCTCCTCTGTCACCTCTTATGACACCCACGGGATGATATGGGGTAGTGGATATTCTTACACCGCCAATTGTTTGGAGACACTTGACAAGGCCATCGAGTACCAGCGTCTCATGCAAACGGCAAATCTTTCCTATAACTGAATGTACATCCACGTTCAGCAGTGGACTATTACTGGCTGATAAAAAAATATTTAAGAAATTATTTTCTTCAGCCTCACGTTAAAAATCGTTACTACCACACAAGAAAGTTCTTCTGAACCTTGGAGAGGTTTTACAAACATAAATCGCATCTGGACAAACATCCAGACCCTATTCAATTATTTGTAGGCTTATTTCGTGCGGGATTCGAATAACTACGCCACCGAACAGGTTAATGAAGTGGATAAATGATCCTCTTGCGAAGATGGTCATGTCTTTGAAACTATAAATGTACCATAAAATTAGTAATATAATATAACAGTATTATATGTATTGATATATATATATATATATATATATATATATATATATATATTTGTATTATATATATTATATGTATAATATAAATATATGTATATATATATATATATATATATATATTTGTATTATATATATTATATGTATAATATACACTATTATATGCATGTATTACATAACAATTTTAATGTGAAAACTAGCTGGTTTTCACTGGAAAAAAGGTAACCCAGCGTGTTGCTGCGACAAAAAAATATTGTCGAAATATCGTTTCAAATTTGGAAGACTTTGTTTATTATTATCATCCCTATTGGATTGTTTAATTAGGAATGATAATACATTTATCGAATTGAGTGATACATTATTTTCAAATAAATTTGTCGGTACGATACGCGCGCCACGTAAGTTAATAATTGTACTATGCCCATAATCTTCGAGGAAGTGCAAGCAATAATTTGACAATGTTTTACCGCAATCTGATGAACGATATGGCAGCGCATAAAATACGAACAAACCAAAATTATTTTTTATAAATTAGATTTGATTTTGTTTTTATTTTGTGGATCTGTACTATTTAACACTCTATTATTAGCTTTGTGGACTCCTTTTCCATCTATGAGTCCGTCTGGGTACCCTGGTCTGGTTACCCCGTCCACCTTCTTACCAATTTCAGCTGCCAAACACTGCTAGCTCTGTGTTCCAGCCTGTGGTGAGTGAAGAGAGCCAGTAGAAAAGCATTTGCAGCCCTTTTTGTGTGAATTCGGTTGCAAGTGTTCAAAGGTTGCCATAGTAATTTTTTTTACAAAAGAAAAACGATAAACGAATTCGATTAAAAAGCGGTTCACCTGATGGTAAGTGACTACCGCCGTCTACGAACTACTGCAACACCAGCGGAATTGCAGATGCGTTGCCAACCTTTTAAAAACGAGTAGGCTCTTTTCTTGAAGTTGTATCGCTCCGGAAAAATCGCTGGTGGTGGACATTCAGTCACCCAGGTGGTATAGATGATATTGCGAGTTTTATCGCAATGTGCGGTGGTGAAATTGGGCAGCTGTAATTAGTCCGAATAATTTCTCTGAGCACTCCTCGAGGTAGATGCGAAGAATACGCAAAGAAAAGCAACATCTCTTCGCAACGCCGGTGAGTAAAGCCGAAAATACAATCAGGCGGTCTGTAAGTTGGTATGGCAGTTCAGGTTATGATAAAACAGTTTGTGCTGTATGTACATACACCTATACATGCATTTTGTATGTATGAATGTGATAGAATTTTGTAACTCAGTTTTTACCGACTTTCGGACGTCAACATCTGAATAATCTGAACGACGTGACGTATTAAGAATTGATGATCTCATGTTCGTTGCGTGTTGTTTTTAAACACGCAGTGAACATGACGTGTGACGTGTGAATACACAAATATTTATATTTGTAATTAACAGTGGTAGAGCCACGCGGTAGATTTTTCTGTCGCACGGATGGGCCGGCTCGAACCGAGGTGGTACCACGACCTCACAGAAAACCAACGTGAAGTAGAGGTTTACCTCTGCGTTTCGCTTGGTGAGTGCAGGTGGCCGGAAGCCCCTTTTACTGGAAATGAAGCATTCCATCTTAGTCCTCACGGGTGACAACGCATCTACATTTTGATTTGTAATAGAGGTGGACTGTGTGCTCGTTTGTCACCCTTATCCTATAAAAAAAATTAAACTCTTATATTATATTCTGTTCTAGCTCTTATCGTCACTTATCTTCACAATAGTTTTGTCGCTTTATCTAATAGGCTTTGATTACATTCACCTTTAGGTTAACTGGTGGTGAACACCCATGTGTTTTAGTGCAACATATTCTAAATTAATTTAATTGTATCTAAATTTGAGTTTTGAATATTTGGGCATGAAATTAAAAAAAACAAAATTGCTTGAAAATTTTTATATTATATTAAAAACATTCAGCATCTGCTAACCAGCGAAAACGTAATTCTCTAAAATGTTGCTATAATTTACAATTTATCGATTTACGCTTCACAACGTACCTTCAGCTTATTGTATCTACTATATAACTTCAACCACAGTATAAAATATTCATTATACATTAAGTTAAGTAGCGTTCTACTTTCATATACAGGCTGTTAAATTAGTAAAGATGCAGTCGTCTTCTTCTTCTATCGGTCCGTAAAAGTCTACTGGGCATGGGCCTCTCCTGCTGTAGTTAGGAAATATTGGCAGGCGATCGTAGAAAAAGACGTTTTGCATTTTTGCTGTTCTCTTTCACCGGTCTTGGTATTTTCATTATAGCGGTATTAGTATTAACATTTAGCGTAATCGGGATAATTATAATGCCAACAATCGAGAGCCGTAGGATTTTTTCGTTATTTCCTATAATCACCTCTTACAACGCTCGAGGTACGAAACCTATTTCGTCCCTCGAGCGTTGTAAGAGATGATTGTTGACACATATCCTAGTATTGGATTCTATTACGTCACTATCACGCGGTACTTCAAGCATGATTAAGGCAAATGTTCTTTACACGGAAGAGGCCTAGGACTTTAACGGATTGATGAAAACAAGAAGAAGAGAATAAAGATAATTCTGTAGCATCGTCCTATTTTTACTCAAACACATCATGTTAACAATATATTTTCTTTCGTTAGTTATTGCTTGCTTTTTCTTTTTGTTCTATATAATTACACATAGGTATATTGGAAACCATTAAAAAATATGGATGTATGTTACACTGAAAATGTGTGAATCAACTTAGGTACGACAATTTTGATTGTCCTACGTGAGTTGCATGTACACAAATAACAATAGGCGCTAGTAATTCGCGTCACCTCTAATATTAATACTAGGGCCAATTGTCGAATCTTGATGTATTTGTGTGCGTATATCAAACAAAATTGTAGGATCTATAGCTCTTCACACAATTTCAGTATGAGTATGTCTGTATTATTTTACGTCTGTGGTTCACGAAAGAAATCGCTCTGAAAATTTGTGAATTAAAACTTTTAAATACAGCAAAAAAGACTGTAGCGCCGTGGTGTCCCTTAGGACTTTTTTTCGTGAAAAAAACTATTATCAGTGAGTTACTTCGTCCCATTCTACTGAGTGACTAATTTATATTTAGCTTACTTACTGTTGGTAATTATTTGTCGAAATTATTTACTTTAAGGCCTAGATTATTTACATAATAATCTAAACTTTAAGGTAAGAGACAAACAATTAATAAATCGAACAGTTTGAAACTTTTTTGAAAAATTTACTTTTAATATATTTTAAATATTTATTATCTACTGAATATTTTATAATGTGACTTCTGTACCATTGCTCTTAAATTTAATACTAGAATTACTATTTACAGATACATGAAATGTGTATTATAAAAGAAATTTAAAAATGTGTCGTATTTTTTAAAAATCTGTACATCTTATTAGTTTCTATACTAATGATGAAATATTTAAAAAAATTACCTTCCAACTAGTGATCCTCTAATATATTTACAAGGTACAACGTAAAGTCTTTTGTTTTAATCCTTTAATTAATTTAGTGTAAATTATTATGGTGAAGTACCTATCCATTTAAAGCGAAGCTATGAGCACATTAAAAGTCTATCAATTTTTATACAATATTTTACAATACAAGTGGAGATATTCATCAATATCTCTCTCTAGTTATTTGATTTTTTTTATTTTACGGTTTGAGAAGGTGTAGGTAATCAATTTTATTAATGTGAGACGTTAATTTAAAATTAATGACTTCAGATTTGTGTCATTCTAAAATAGATATTATAATCATATTTAATATTTAATAATCTATTTACAATTTCTAAAAGTAGGTTACAAAATAAGTGTTGGAATGCATTTATTCAGGTATGTAGGTAAAAACGCAATTAATAATCGACATATACATGAACAATTAAACTATTAATTAACTTGCGTTACGAAAAAGGTAGTACCTATAAAATTTTGTTACTATTATTTTCAACAAATAGGTGACGCTACCGGTGGCGGATGTGGTGGCGCGCTAGTCGTCGGCGCATTCAGAAACCCGCCTTGATTTCCCGCCCACGGCTGTAGGTTTTGTAAAGCGCTTAATGCGGTGTTCGCTGGAGGTGCTGGTGCAGTGTTCGCTGAACTTTGGTAATGAAGCGCTGACAGTGGTGCGGTGCCCGGCGGTGGTTCGGGTATATAGCCTTTGCTGAGCGCTTCAGCCTGCAGTGACAGCATCAAACGGTTCGCTGCTTGCCGCTCTGCTTCCCGCTCCTCGGCTGTTTGGCGTCTGTAACAAGTTGAGTATAATCTGTAATTACAATTCCTCAACAGCCTATTGTACTGTGTGTTCTGTGCTGTAACATACAACGTTACACTAAAAATCAAGCGAAAAATATGGTAAACCGTCGTCACCCATTATCGTCATCATCATCATTGCAACTCATCACAAGTCCACTGCTGAACATAGGTTTCTCGGGAAAGCATGGTCTTAAATTTACTGCATTTAAAAACTCTTCTGAGACCGTCTTTTAAGCCTGTGCTCTGTACTCTGTACTCACTACCTCACTACATTTAGTGAGTTTGAACAACTCTTATAATTAACGCCAGCTAGCTTATTCTTGAATAAACCTGTGTCCAGCTGTGTACGTGGAACGGTTATTGTTGATAATGATACCAACAGTGAAAGTTCAGTGAAGGAACATATCTCAGTTACATGCGTAATCACAAGCAACAGACATAACTATTAATACGTTAAGAGTTGGACCAGTCGGTTCACTTTATGGTCCAAGTTGAACTTATGTATTCGGATTTATCTAAGGCAAACATACACGTCAGGACTTCGATCGTAGTGTTTCGAACAATAATTTTTTTATATTATAATAAAGGTGATCCACGAGTACATAGCCCATCTCATGGTATAGCTCATAGACATCTATCATCGATTAAGAATACATGAAAAATGCAGATTCGTTATCACCCATGAGGGCTAAGGTGGAATACCTCGTTACTAGTAGAAAGGGTTTCCGTTTCTAAATACTAACCATACATATATCACAGCAACATTATTCGACTATTTCACGCTGGTATTTTGTGAGAGCGTGGCCCTTTCTGATCAAGCCGGCCATTTCGTGCTGCAGCTGTGAATAGCTAGTATAGCTGCAGTGTGGCTCTCCCGTGTAAAAATTCTTCTTCTACATTAGTCCTAAAAGGCTGCTGGTCATTTGCCTCTCCTGTTTAAGGATTATAGGGAGAGGGGATAACGATACAGTCGTTACACTTGGTAGAAGGATTGACACAATAATTCTCGTATCTTTGACGTGCTGTACGTCGCTGGTTTGGATATTATACGCCTAGAGTAAAAGATATAGTTCTACCGCCTAATCTACCTCAATCAGTAACCATAAGACTTTTTTGTCATTTCCCATTGGTCCGGAATGTTCGCCCATTTCGACTTATTTAGCCCATTGATAAATATGCTAAAGTATCATAACATCTGATATTTTCAAAATCTTGGAATCTCTGTGAAGGTGAATGGAATGCTGGAATGCCCTGCTGGCGTCTATTTTTCCGAATTCGTATAACTTGAAACCTCTTCAAGGTGCGTGTGAACAGGCTTCTCCTGGGAAAACTTGCTCCATTGTAGTCCCCATCTTTGCCCGCGGTTGAGATGGAGGTTAAGAGTGAGCCAGAGTAATTTTAATTCATCTTGAAATGATTCGCCCCGCGTAATACGTTTTATTTAGACCTTTTTACTATAGACATTTAAGGATTGTGGAAAAGGAAAAATGGAAATGCTTTTACATAATGTTGTGATATTTTTAGACAGGAAGGTACCCTGATGACTAAGGCAAATATTCAAACTTTTTAGTTAAGTTAAGTAGTTGACGGCTCCGTGGCGCAGTGGCTTAGCAATGAGTTGGTGCTCTGGGGGCTGCGGGTTCGAATCCCACACGGAACAAGTATTTGTATGGCCTACAAGTTATTGTTCTGGGTCTGGATGTTAGTCCTTGTGCAATTTTTGTTTGTAAACTGCCTCCATGATACAGGAGAAATTCCTAGTGTAGGGGTAACGTTAATTTAAAAATAAAAAACAAAAAAAACAAACTTTTTAGTTACAGGATATTGAAACACTTTTTTTCGATAACCTAAAATATTTGACGCTTTTATTAAACTGCCAATTGAATACATTAACAATTAATCAAATAATTAAATTCGAATCGTCGTGTGAATTGTACAGCTTGGTTTGTACATGGCGTTAATGGCCCCGGTGAATTATGCATCAGTCTCTGACTGTCCACTGATCAGCTGTGAATAATTCAGTCTCTGTAATAAGGTGAGAACAGTGTTATATGACTGAGTTAATATGGTCGTTATAATATCTCATTTATTTACATTAATATTGTGTATTGTTGTCGCATGTCTAAATTAATATTATAATTAATAAATCATAAAGCTTTTGCATGGGAACACTTATCAGTTGAATTCGCTTTATTATAAAAATTAGCTGTGCGTAAGCACGGTGAATGTTTTTTTTTTTTAAATATGTATAGAAACAGAAACAGAAACAGAAACTTTTTTATTCAATATAGATTATAAATAATACTTATTGAAAGTCACTTTTTTGTTTGATTACCACTGGTTCGGAAAAAACCTCTGTCCTGGGAAGAACCAGCAAGAAACCCAGCGGGACTTTTTTTAAATAACAGCTTACAATCATGATGTTACACAAATTAACAACACAACAAATTAGAAATAGCTTGGTAGCGATCACCTCATTTCCAGGGGTTGTTATCATCCATAAATTCCTTAACATTATAATAACCCTTTTTATACAAACTTAGTTTAATAAAGTTTTTGATCTTTAAGCAGGTAGAAGAGAAGGCAAACGAACATGCAGCTCAACTGATGGTATGTGACTACTGTAGTCCATTAATAACTACAAAACCAGAGAAATTGCAGGGGCGTTGTCGGCCTATTAAAAGAAATTGTGGACTCTTTTCTTGAAAGTAAAAATCTGAGCTTGCATGATTTAAATTGATTGGCTGATTACATCTTCATAAATATTTGTTTTTTTTTTTTGTTTTTATAAATTATATTATTTTTGATTTATTCTGAATTACCAATCATGCGTCAAGCATTTTGAACTAATATTCTTAAGGCTGAATAATATTATTATTAAGTATTATTTACATTTTGCTTGTCCAAGAAGTGTCTTTTTGTCTGCATATAGGACATAGCTGGCATTGGATTTAAATCTAGTATTGCTAATCATTAAGTTCCATTAAGGCCTATAAAAGTCCACTACTGAACAAAGGTCTCCTCCACCCATTGTCACAATGAGAATCTCGCCATAGTTGCAATGCTTGGCGGATGGGTTTGCAACCGCAGTTTTTTTTATATTTTGAGGAAAAAAGATGCTGCTGCCCATCTCTTGTTTCAGTTTCCCTCTGTCGCCTCTTACGACAACCACGGGACGTTATGGAGTAAAGAATATTCTTACACCACATCACTACACGAAATAATATAGCTGTAGCGTGGCTGCTCCACGTAAAATAACAAAATTTGTCAAAATAAAATAAAAACACGTTTGGTTACAGTTACAGCCTGTGTAATATGAGACTTACATTGGGTCAAAAGCATATAGTGTGTGTTAGTTTAATATTACTAATTGCCTGTGCATCGCTTTTTTTCGAACTTGCCTGACACACTGCCGCGTGTTTAGATAATAATCTATTTTGTAAACTATATTTTAACCTATATAAAGCACAGCAAAGTAACTGACAAACGATAGTGGCTTGCATTAAGTTTCAGATCTAATTCGTAAATAATACATGAGTTTTAGAGGCAGTAGTTGGCAGTTAGAGGGTTCTAATTTGATTCACGCCAATTAGCGTGAACGACGACAGCCGAATTAGTTCAGTAATTTATGATCATACTTGCAGTATATACTATACATATACGTATATACATTCATAGACTAAAGAGACGTTTGCTTTTTTTTAATTAGACGTGTTTATTTTTAAGGTGAGTGCTTAACGCGTTATTTATTTAAATATTGAAACAATTTACATAAATCATAGCCAACCAAATAAGTAATTTCATTTTTATATCATACTTCTCCTGCTATACACAACTTCTTTTCATTACATTAAATTAAGGTTAGGACTGAAACAGCAATGTGTACTGTCATACGTGTCTTTATTGATACTTTCTAACTTCCCATAATAGACTCTGATATCATATTCTATGTTTTGCTATTTATGAACAAATTTCGCATTCGCATCTAAAGTAGGGCTACAATAACACAAAGTTTAGTTACACATCAATTAGATTATTTAAATTAATTTCTGGCGGTGGTGGTAAATTTGATTACGGGACAACTTTTCTGCCTAGAACTCTGTCTGCTTAGATTGCATAATAAATAGCAGGAATTCCATTAGTGTGTTCCAGTGTAAAGGGTAAATAGAGCCACGCTACGAGGCATTTCATCTTAGTCCTCAGATCTGAGGTGAGAACACATATGTAACCTCCTTTATAAGAATTTGGATACAGGTGTTCGTGGAATGCAGTAGTCACTTTTTTATATAGGATAGGGTGACAAACGAGCACACAGTTCACCTGATGGTAAGTGGTTGCTGTGACCCATAGACATCTACATCTATCCTCGTTTGCGAGTCAAAATGCAGATGCGTTGTCACCCGTGAGGACTAAGATGAGATGCCTCTTTTCCAGTGAAAAGGCCGGTATTCTGTGAGAGCGTGATCCTTCCCCGGTCGAGCCGACCCATTCGTGCTATAACTATACTACTAATATAGCTGCAGCATGGCTCTACCACGTAGAGCGTTATCATTAGGTACACTGTTTGTTTGTCACTTCAGTTTTATAAAATAATCCATCACTCCATTTCGTACCGTAGGATACTTGCGGAAAAGGCTACCTTTTGTACGTGGTAGAGCCATGCTGCAGCTACATTAGTAGTATAGCACGAATGGGTCGGCTCGACCGGGGAAGGACCACGCTCTCACAGAATACCAGCGTAAAATGGCAGTTTGACACTGCTGTGTTTCGTATGGTGAGTGTAGAGAACCGGAGACCCTTTTTACTGGAAAAGAGGCATTTCATCTTAGTCCTCACGGGTGACGACGTATCTGCATTTTGATTCTTCATTGAGGATAAATGTAGATGTTTATGGGTCACAGCAACCACTTAGCATCAGGTGGACTGTGTGCTCGTTTGTTACCCTTATTCTATAAAAAAAAACATGGGAAATGACAGAAAAATCTTATG